TCGGTGACGATGATCGACTGGTCGTCACCCTCGGGGAGCCTGATGGTGATCACGGACTCCTGGCTGCCGTAGCGGTCGAGGTCGTGGAGGCAGTAGTCGTACTTCACCGCCTCGGTGTACATGGCACGAACCCATTCTAGCTCAGCTAGTGCATCGTCCATAGCCAGGGCTTCGGCACCCATGCTTGCCTTGACTACACGCTTAAGTCTGTGAGACTTCCAGCTGTTCACCGAGATCTTGGCAATCTCTTCGTTCATGATCTTCTTCTCGGCAAACATCACAAGGAAACCTCCCTGGGACTTGTTTTCTTCAGCGTTGGCTAGTGCGGCGTCACAGGCAGCCATCCACATCCCGTCTGCAAGCGGAATCGGGAGGATGCGCACACAAACTTCCGGCGTTGCCTTGAGTTCGGCTACAACTTTGTTGGCCTGGCATATATGGTCTATAGTTGGACCAGTCTTGGGCCAGGACATCGCCATAGCACACGCGGCTCCAACATCAGGCCTGCCTTCACGGCCAACCCAGAGCAGAGCTCCTCCAATTCCTCGGAGCAACGTGGTCTCCTGAGCAGAAAGCTCACTCTCACGTTGTGCTAGACGAGCACGAGGAAGTGAAAGTGGAGAAAGTTTCTCCTCTATGTACCTGCGCATGGTGACCCTGATCTCAAAGTTCGCATCTTGAAAAATTGTCCTGCCGATGTAGTCACCCGAACCTTGAAACACTTCACGCCACTTCCCAAAACGAAGTTGGGTACGGAGTCGCTCCATCAATTCCTGGTGACGGCTGTTGCCTCCTTGAGCGAAATCGTCTACGTCGAGGAGGACATAGCCTGCTGCACCTAGGGGCTCTGCTAGCTCGTCACACTCCGTCTTGGTGTAAACCAATACATAAAGACAGGGGTCGAAAGAGCACTCCTTGTAACCAAGGTCCACCAGCAGAGAGCGAACTCGCTTGCGCCATGCAGCCGGCGCGTTCACCAAGCCATATACCGCAGTCTTAATGCGGATGATGGCGTGCGCTGGTACTCCAGGAATCCCTGTAGGCGGCAGGTAGGCGAAGAGCGGACCTTGTGCACGGTCCTCCTGGAT